AGGGAAACAGGCATAGTTTGGGGAAGAGTTCACAGTTGGAAGATCTAGACTTTGCTAATGATATCATTCTGCCAAGGAAAAGCAGCAGTGACATGCAATAAAAAAACACATATTTTTTTGTGCAAATATAGCATCAAAGTTGTACTACACAAATATATTGAAGACAATAGATCAAGCAGATGTAACACTAGAGACACACTTAAATAAAGTAACAGTTAAATGTACCTATTTAGGTGGCAGTTTTGGTAGTGAAGGGAATACCAAGAAAGAGATGACACACATTGGTCAGACATAAGCAGTTTTAGAAAGCTTCAACAAAACATGGAACTAGATCGTATCATTTTCAAACCAAGTTATTTATTTTCAGTTTTGTTATCTCAGTTTTAACATGCCAGTGAAAGTTAGAGAACCACTAGAGATGTGGAACTAAAGTTAAATGCATTCAAAAACAATTGCTTGAGAAAAATGGGGAACATAAATCTAATGAATTGAAGAGGGGTAAAGAAATAAGAGAAATGTCTGGACAACCGTAGGTAACAACAGTTATATAAGTCAGAAAAGATGGTGCTATATTGCACACAAGCTGAGAAGAAACAAGCAGACACAGGCACTAAGATGGGAAATAAAGGTATTAAGGAGAGGAGGACCCCCAACAGAAACCCCAAGGCGAACGTTGGTGAGGCCAAAGCTGCTTAAATGGATTCCGTCCATGATATTGAACTGATTGTACAAGGTAGAACGTAATAGGGGAATAGACAGCAGGTCCTATCTATGTGACATACAATGGCACAACAGGACAATGATAAGCTTACTTGATTTACTGAGGGTGATAGTGTGCATTTTGAATTTTCACTTTAATGGAATATTTTGATTAGTGAATTTTATATAGTCTTTCATTCATAATACAATTTTGAATCTGAGTTAAAGTCCAGAAATTTGCAGTGTTATGTGTTACACTCATTTTTTAAACACAGAATAATGTTAGGTAGTTAGCTGCACAGTAATGAACAAAAACATAGGCTGTAGTAGATAGATAGTCTGCACTGTAGTAGATAGTAAGTCTGCGCTCTGTAGTAGATAGTAAGTCTGCGCTGTAGTAGATAGTAAGTCTACCCCACAGTGTAGAAATAGAAGTGTGTGTGGAAGACATGATACTACGATTACTCCCAAGCATGATGATTGAATGCCACCCCCCCCCCCCCCCCCCTTCCCCAAAATGATTTATTCTCAACAAGAAGATATTGTTGAATAGGCTCATTATTTAGTGCTATAATCTTTGAAACTGATCACCTCACCGTGCATCAAGTGTTATGTGTATTCAACACAAGTTAATGCTGTAGTGTGAAGTAAAAACATGCACATTTGCAGGTTGAGACTTATCAAATATGGATATTAAGAAGGCAGGTGAGTTTCTTGGATGGATAAATACCAACAAGGAAGTTGCACAACTTTGTGCTCCCTTTTTAAGCCAAATGAGAACGTTACTGGAGGTACAATGAAGCCATACAAAAGTATCAAAAACCATCATGAAGGAAAGAGGTGAAGGCCAAAGACAGTATCAAAACAAGGTAATTCTTCTGTCTAGCAGAATATACAAGGATTGCTGCAGCTGAGGACAGTAATGTCTGGAAATCCTTTAGTCAGTCAGTCTGCGCAAGAGAGAGGGCACTAGATACTGCTGCAGTCATCTAGTCATGGAATAGATATGGTAACATTGATATAAACACACAATTAAACTCCTATCTGAAATGTCTGGCACTAAGCTACATGTTTTACACTGACCCTTGATGTGGACGGATTGCAGTAGCAGGTGTGTTTGTGTTGTTTAAAAATGGCAACTGTGAAACACATATTTTTTCATTGGGATAAAACATGGGAAACGGTGCTTTAGAAGGTCACTTTCTGAGACTCGCAGCAATAGTCACTGATGCTGTGTCATGTGGATGTCTTTAAGCATGGGGTTGTTGGCTGGATGAATCTAGTGCTACAACAGTGCTGACTCTAATGCTGTGACATGTGGAAGTCTTTGAGCATGGGGTTGTTGGGTGGATGAATCTAGTGCTACAACAGTGCTGACTCTAATGCTGTGACATGTGGAAGTCTTTAAGCATAGGGTTGTTGGGTGGATGAATCTAGTGCTACAACAGTGCTGACTCTAATGCTGTGACATGTGGATGTCTTTAAGCATGGGGTTGTTGGGTGGATGAATCTAGTGCTACAACAGTGCTGACTCTAATGCTGTGACATGTGGAAGTCTTTAAGCATAGGGTTGTTGGGTGGATGAATCTAGTGCTACAACAGTGCTGACTCTAATGCTGTGACATGTGGATGTCTTTAAGCATGGGGTTGTTGGGTGGATGAATCTAGTGCTACAACAGTGCTGACTCTAATGCTGTGTCATTTGGAATGAATCTAGTCTTTAAGCATGGGTCTTTAAGCATTGTTGGTGGATGAATCTAGTGCTACAACAGTGCTGACTCTAATGCTGTGTCATGTGGATGTCTTTGAGCATAGGGTTGTTGGGTGGATGAATCTAGTGCTACAACAGTGCTGACTCTAATGCTGTGACATGTGGATGTCTTTGAGCATGGGGTTGTTGGGTGGATGAATCTAGTGCTACAACAGTGCTGACTCTAATGCTGTGACATGTGGATGTCTTTAAGCATGGGGTTGTTGGGTGGATGAATCTAGTGCTACAACAGTGCTGACTCTAATGCTGTGACATGTGGAAGTCTTTAAGCATGGGGTTGTTGGGTGGATGAATCTAGTGCTACAACAGTGCTGACTCTAATGCTGTGACATGTGGATGTCTTTAAGCATGGAGTTGTTGGGTGGATGAATCTAGTGCTACAACAGTGCTGACTCTAATGTTGTGTCATGTGGATGTCTTTGAGCATAGGGTTGTTGGGTGGATGAATCTAGTGCTACAACAGTGCTGACTCTAATGCTGTGTCATGTGGATGTCTTTGAGCATGGAGTTGTTGGGTCGTGGATGAATCTAGTGCTACAACAGTGCTGACTCTAATGCTGTGACATGTGGACGTCTTTAAGCTTGGGGTTGTTGGGTGGATGAATCTAGTGCTACAACAGTGCTGACTCTAATGCTGTGACATGTGGATGTCTTTAAGCATGGAGTTGTTGGGTGGATGAATCTAGTGCTACAACAGTGCTGACTCTAATGCTGTGACATGTGGATGTCTTTAAGCATGGGGTTGTTGGGTGGATGAATCTAGTGCTACAACAGTGCTGACTCAAATGTTGTGACAGTGCTAGTAGAATGAACGTGCTGCTGTAATAATCTGCTAACCTAATGCCATGACTGTCTGCAAGCTTACTAGTGTGATAATCTGCTAGCAGAATGAACTTGGTGCTCTGATAATCCACTAACTTAGTGCTCTGATAATCCACTAACTTGGTGCTCTGATAATCCACTAACTTAGTGCTCTGATAATCCACTAACTTAGCGCTCTGATAATCCACTAACTTAGTGCTCTGATAATCCACTTAGAGATCTGAGAATCCACTAACTTAGTGCTCTGATAATCCACTAACTTAGTGCTCTGATAATCCACTAACTTAGTGCTCTGATAATCCACTAACTTAGTGCTCTGATAATCCACTAACTTAGTGCTCTGATAATCCACTAACTTAGTGCTCTGATAATCCACTAACTTGGTGCTCTGATAATCCACTAACTTGGTGCTCTGATAATCCACTAACTTAGTGCTCTGATAATCCATTAACTTACTGCTCTGATAATCCACTAACTTGGTGCTCTGATAAGCCACTAACTTGGTGCTCTGATAAGCCACTAACTTGGTGCTCTGATAATCCACTAACTTGGTGCTCTGATAATCCACTAACTTGGTGCTGATACAGAAACCTGGTTAACCTTCAAGGGTGTACACAAATCATAGAATTCACAATTCATTTACCTGATTTCTGACCTGTGTTCTTCTTCTTTCGTTTGCTTGAAATAAGATTATCTCTATCTGCAATGCTGTCTCTAGTTAGAACTTGACTGTATTTTGTAAACCACTTATTGAAACTGGGTATTGAGCAAGGACAAACATGCATACACTAGTGAACGGGCAAAGAAAAGAAGAAACAAAGCCAGTCAGCTCCCAGTGGGTACAGAAAACTTAGAGACGTTGAGATGGCTGTTGTATCAGATGATAAAGCACACATGGGCTAGATACTGTTGTATCAGAGGATAAAGCACACATGGGCTAGATACTGTTGTATCAGAGGATAAAGCACACATGGGCTAGATACTGTTGTATCAGAGGATAAAGCACACATGGGCTAGATCCTGTTGTAACAGAGGATAAAGCACACATGGGCTAGATACTGTTGTATCAGAGGATAAAGCACACATGGGCTAGATACGGTTGTGTCAGAGGATAAAGCACACATGGACTAGATACTGTTGTGTCAGAGGATAAAGCACACATGGGCTAGATACTGTTGTGTCAGAGGATAAAGCACACATGGGCTAGATCCTGTTGTGTCAGAGGATAAAGCACACATGGGCTAGATCCTGTTGTGTCAGAGGATAAAGCACACATGGGCTAGATCCTGTTGTGTCAGAGGATAAAGCACACATGGGCTAGATCCTGTTGTGTCAGAGGATAAAGCACACATGGGCTAGATCCTGTTGTGTCAGAGGATAAAGCACACATGGGCTAGATCCTGTTGTGTCAGAGGATAAAGCACACATGGGCTAGATCCTGTTGTAACAGAGGATAGAGCACAGGTGGGTCAGATCCATGTGTTGAGGACAAGTAATGAGTAACGTAGCTGATTTCAGATGAACTCTTCTGGTTCAATGGAACAGTGAATCGGTAAATTACTGGCAATTTAATAATTGTTCTGATTTTTATATGCTGTTTTCTTGATTCTCTTTCAGGGGAACAAGTGGATGCTGACTGGCCAAGATGTGCCAGCAGGCAGATTGTTAAATAATTAAAGTCTTCTGCTTGACTGCAACAGCTGCCACCATGGTGCTAGACTTTGATGTGAAGACTTTTTGCCAAAATCTCCGAGCAACAAAACCTCCATATGAGTGTCCGGTTAAGACTTGCAGAAAAATCTATAAAAGCTTTTCTGGGATTCAGTTTCACATGTACAATCACAACCATGACTGCCCCGACTCCCCAGACACAGGGGCAGCGGCCAGCCCTTCAGGAGGAGGTAGGAAGCCTGGCAAACGTAAACAGAAAAACTGGCACCCTCGCCAGGCCAGACGGTCACCAACACCACCAGAATTTATTGGTTCACCTCAGAGAGAGACTCTTAGCTATGCCGAGTCCCAGCGGCTGGTGGAGATTGACTTAGATGGTTGCCTGAGGAGAATCGACATCTTCCAACCCATGGAGATTATTTCTCAGGATGAGATTGAGAATCATGACAACACCGAGAAGGAGGAGAATGCAGAAAAGAGTCCGTCTGGTCGACCTGTTCGTCATCTGGAAAGTAAAAACCGTAAAGAACCTCTGGCAGTTGGTAGCCTGCCTCCGGACATCAACCCAAACAAACTACCGGAGCCTAATGTCAAAGTACTTTCAGACTATGTTAAGCCTAATAAGGCTTCTCCAAGGCCATCTGCCTATTACAGGTACATAGAGAAGTCTGTGGAAGAACTGGACGAGGAGATAGAATACGATATGGATGAGGAGGTATGTATTAGTTTTATATTCCTGTTTGTTGAAAGTTGGCAGAAGATTTTTCTTGCTCTGGTGTTATCTAGTATTTCAGTTTTTTTTTATTAGCAGAAAATTATAATACAACAAAAAAATCATCCTATTCAGTACTTAAGTCTCATCAATTGCTGTTTCAGATTTCTTCTTCTTATTCACATTCCCTGGTTGTAAACTCCAGTGAGAAGTTCTGGTTGTTCATCCACTTCTAGACTTTAAATTTGCTTCCTAACTTGAATTTTGCATACACGGAACTGGCTTATGGTTTTCCTTATTAAGTTATTGACTGTTAGCTTGTAATAACATATATGTATAATATGTATATTAAGTGTGTAATAAAAGTTGATGGTGTTATTTTAGGACAAGTACAGACATTTAAGTATCTGGGGACATGGATAACATCAGATGGAAGATGCATAACTTAGATAAGAAATAAAATAGGACAGGCAAAAACTGCATTTTATAAAATGAAAAACATCTTGTGCAATATATCCTTGTCATTGAGAGTTAGAAAAAGACTTCTTGCTTGCTACATACATCCAGTTTTAACATATGGCTGTGAATCCTGGACAATCGGTAGGCAGGCCAAACAATTTCTGGAGGCCTCAGAGATGTGGTTTTACAGAAGAATGCTTAGAATACCTTGGGCAGCCAAAAAGAGCAACCAAGAGGTTTTGAAAGAGGCGGGAGCCCGAAGACAACTTATCACAGACATCAGAAGGAGACAGTCATCATTTTTCGGACATGTTATGAGAAGAGGGAAAATAGAACACGTTGTGACCACTGGAAAGATATGTGGAAGGAGAGATAGAGGAAGACAACGAGAGAAGATGCTTGACAGTCTTGTTGCATGGCATGGAGGTGTGTCGGCACACGAACTGATACATGCTGCAGGAGATAACAGATTATGGATAGGCATGATCGCCCACGCCAGTCGGCAAGGACCTGATGATGATGATGATATATATATATATATATATATATATATATATATATATATATATATATATATATATATATATATATATATATATATATATATATATATATATATATATACGTTAGTTTAAGAAGAAGAAAATGATGATGTCATGAGTACTGTATTCAGGTGATTCAGTGAGGTGACGGGGTAAGTCCAGTCACATCCACTAGAGCTGTGCAGTCTGAGTGAACGGCAGATGTAACTCCAGCGGTGCTTTGTTTTAAAATTGGGTACATTATCTCGCTTGGTCTCGTCTTAATTTGCATATTGGATCTAAATTTGTCCAGTGGAGATATAGTATTCTTCGGTGACATTTGTTCAGAAAACTGATCTTTGGTCTAGAGCTACCGTTGCATTCCAACTCTCACATTCATAAGTTTGGACTGGAATCACACAGGGCTTGAAGATCTTAAGTTTTGTGTGATCGCTGCATATCTTTAGTAGGATCATACAAAAGCGAGGGTTTGGTTTTTTTCTTCTAAATAATATTACGAACCCCTTACATTTGCAGTTGGAATATCATTTGCGAACCACTGTTATTGATGTTCTAGTCTACACAGACTTAAGCAGTTACAGAAGTATAGATGTGGAATACACTGACAAGCACACGTACACACGTCTGTCTGTGCCAGTGATCTCATGTGTCCAAACCAACCAGGTATTTAGCTCTGATGATTTCCTGTGCCCCATTCACATCAGACTTGCCAGGATGTCCTGTATGTATTCACATGGATTTACCCTGATCACATGCACAATAGATTGTGAGCATCCATTTCTAGATTCACAAATCAGTTGTGAGCATCCATTTCTAGATTCACAAATCCGTTGATGCTTTTCATGATGGTCAGTTTTCATGAGTAACTAAATCTCTGCCTGTTGTCCGTGCACTTGATAGTGACAGGTTACCCTTTTGTAGCGGCCGCCCTGAGTTTGTGGCAACTTTGTCTTCTTTTTTTATTAAAACCATTTGTATCAATATTAACTTGTAAAGAGAATTACAGTGTTAAGGCCCTACAGTGATGACTTGGGTGGAGGTAGTAGCTTGGTATTTACTGCTATTGAGTTGTTAAGTAAGGCCATGATATATTTAGCCTACAGAATAAAGAGATGTGAGTGTCCATTTCCCTGCCTCACCAGCTTTCCTGCTGAAATCCTAATGATCATTTTCTGTGGTTTAATAGAGCCCCAGATGATTTAAGTCTAAACAACACTACACACTGCTTCCATGTGCTGAGACGAAAGGAAATCCTAATGTAGCCGGTGCTTTGCAGAATGTCGCTGTCATCACAGTCTGTCTGAAAGAAACTCGGTCTCCCGTCAGCTCTCCCACATGTAGTTTCATGCTCAAGGGTCACTTATATTGTGTGCCAGTTGCATCTGCCCATCCTTCCTTCTGAACCATAGATTTTTAATTTTGTTTAATCTTTGTATGGCTATGACGATCCTTGTCTTGATGACTGTTGAACAGCCTCCATTGCTCTTTAATATGGAAAAAGAAAACCTAAAGACTGCATGATTCTGCACACCCAAAATATGTGCAATGTTTTGATGTCTCTACACAGGGATACTAAAGGATATGAATGCTTGCTATATTGCAGCCAAATATTGAATGTTTGTCTGACTTTGATGTGTTCTGCAGGACCACTCGTGGCTGGAGCTAGTCAATGACAAGCGTACCAGTGAAGGATTAGCTGCAGTAGCCCAGGATACCTTTGAGCTGATCATGGACCGCTTCGAAAAGGAAGCCTTCTTCCAGAGCCAGCACACGGGAAAGGAGCAGGGCCCTTCCATGGATGATGACGCAGTGTGCAGCATCTGTATGGACGGAGAATGCCAGAACAGCAACATGATTCTCTTTTGTGACATGTGTAATCTGGCTGTGCATCAGGAGTGCTATGGGGTGCCATATATCCCAGAGGGCCAGTGGTTGTGCCGCCGCTGCTTGCAGTCCCCGTCCCGTGCTGTAGATTGTTGCCTGTGTCCTAATAAAGGAGGCGCGTTCAAACAAACTGACGACGGCAGGTGGGCCCATGTAGTTTGTGCTCTATGGATTCCGGAGGTAGGTTTTGCCAACACAGTGTTCTTAGAGCCTATTGACTGTTTGCAGCGGATTCCCCCTGCACGTCGGAAGCTGACTTGTTACATTTGTAAGCAGAGGGGAGCCGGTGCCTGCATCCAGTGCCACAAGACCAACTGTTACACAGCATTTCATGTCACCTGTGCTCAGCAGGCAGGCTTGTTCATGAAGATTGAAGCTGTCAAAGAACCTGGTCCCAATGGGATATCAGTTGGTGTCAGGAAGACTGCATTCTGTGATGTTCATGCAGAACCTTGTGCTGATAATTCAATGTTTCCTGACGAGGACAAGAAGAAGGGCTCCAAGGAGGAAGCCCGAGAATTGGCCAAGATCAACATGAGGAAGGCTAGAAAAATCCTGGCTCAGAAGCGAAATGCTATACCCAACGTGTCCATTCCAGTCATTCCTGAACAAAGGTGAGTTCACAGCTGTACATAGAATTGTCTGTTTTGTGTTGACTTTATCTCAAAGTAGTTATCTTGTAAAGGTCAAGTTGGGAGATGTGAACCAGTGTCATTGCACACGGTTATAAACCATTAGTGCTCTGCCACCAGTACAGGCAGTTGATAAGAGACCGTCGGCCTGTGTCGCCGTCAGCACGTAACTCTAACTACAGCGACGTTTCTCCATTTACCCCAGAGCGTCACGCTGGTACCAATTTCCTTTAGAGGCTGGGCGAACCCCGGGAACCGCCCAGTTTCAAACACCGGCCGTGGCTACAGCGAGTCGCAGCTGGATTTGAAAGCGACACTCCTATCCACTTCGCTGATGTGGCTCCTGTATTGTGAAATACTTAAACTACATTGTCCACCAGTTTTATCTTTCTGTTTTGTTACGTCTGTTGTTTTTCTGGATGTTTCTTCCTACTGTAATTTACCTTTACTATTTTAAGTTCATTTTACAGTGATTATACATATATAATGCAACCAACCCCATTCAAACAAGGTTTGTTAAATGTTAACTTAAAAATAACAGCACACACACAGTATTAACTGTCATTCTTTTTCTGCCCTGAATCGCCCAGTGGGGGCACATGCCCTCCACCAGCTCACACCACGTTGTCCTATCTGTTGCTGTTGCATGCAAGTCACCCCAAATGTCCTCCCCTTCTTAGTAGCTTCACTGTCTGGTTCCCTTCTCTGTAGTTTTGAATAAACTTGTAATATCCATGCCCTGTGGGTGCCAGTGTAAAGACATTCTGTATTCTCTAGTTTTCTTGACATGTGTCATATGCAGGGCCAGCCTCTTTTCTTCACCTGTTCATAGACTGAAATTTTGTTAGTTCTTTTCCAAAGCTGCACATGAGTGCTTCCATCATCCCAGGTCAGCTAGGTCTATGCAGGCATTATAGAACTTGTTCTCATTACTGTTGTTTGTAAGGACAGGCAGGATTACTGCTAAGGAGACCAGCAGGTTTATGGTTGTCATGTCAAGCCCTCCTGGTAATGTTGTTTCATGGTTTCCCCATACATTTTAACCACAGAATTCAAACACAATCCTTTCCAAGAAGGTATTTAAATACCAAATCGTACCAACACAAGGTTCGGTTTTTTCTTATAAGCTGACCACAAATGAGATCTTGATAGAGTCCACTATTTTAGAGGGTGGTAAGACCGGGTTTTCCAGGCTTCCTGTACCTTCGCCTTTATTTCAAGGCCAGGTTAATGCACATTTCTTTCTGTGTTGGCATCCCGAGTGTGTTCAATATTCTCCATGGATTTCCTTGAATTGGCAGCATCGGTATGTGACAAGAAGAGCAGTGTTGCTGTCCTGTAACATCATGGCATTTTGCATCGCCATTAGAAAAGTCTGTTGTCTCTGCTACTGCTGCACCAGTTGCCACATTGCAACAACTCTCCAAATCTACTAACGTGTAAAATTGTTCTGACTGAATGCTTTTAATGACCCCAAAACATCTAGAACCGGCCCTAACCCCAACCCACCTACCCACAATAGAATGCAGCCTAGGTCCCATAACTCTATGCAGTCTATAATATATGCAATGTCCATGTTGTACTTGAAATCCCTTAAGGATAAAATTACCAATACACTGAACCTAACGTGTACAATTGTTCTCATTGTGAGATCGGAAACTCAGCAGTGTACATCTAGAGTGATTGGCCCTTTTAATCGCCACTCCTGAAGTGCCCCAGTTGGCAACGTATCCTGCCGATACATATACATATATATATATATATATATATATATCAATGCACAACTGCATCCTCCTGCCGATTGCACAGAGAGTCTACAACACACACAAAAACTGCTCAGCAAATGAAATGGCAAATTACAAAACTGCACGCTTAATCTACCACCACCTAAAATATCGGACTGTCCCATGACCTGTGGACTTATTCTGTTTGTGGTTGATTATTTAGCAAGAACCCAAGGTTCTGCATGACCATCACAGAATGCAGTCTTCCTCACACCAACTTCCGATCGATTTTTTAAAACTAGTGAACACTAAATTAATTGGTCCCAGGGTCTAACAGACTCACATTTTCTAATGTATTTGACTAAATAGGTGACTCTGTACACATGGTAACAGGGGATATAATAAATGCAGACATTATACAAATATTGCATTGACTTGATGACAACGGTGGTGACATAGCACATAGAAGTAAGAGAAGGAAAATGAGGTTAATGCTTGAAAGGTGCTTTTTGGTGTTTCAAATTGTAGTTGTTCACCACTTGTAGAGGGTTTGGAGGTCACTGATTTTTGATGTTTCCAATTGTAGTTGTTCACCACTTGTAGAGGGTTTGGAGGTCACTGCTTTTTGGTGTTTCCAATTGTAGTTGTTCACCACTTGTAGAGGGTTTGGAGGTCACTGCTTTTTGGTGTTTCCAATTGTAGTTGTTCACCACTTGTAGAGGGTTTGGAGGTCACTGATTTTTGGTGTTTCAAATTGTAGTTGTTCACCACTTATAGAGGGTTTGGAGGTCACTGATTTTTGGTGTTTCCAATTGTAGTTGTTCACCACTTGTAGAGGGTTTGGAGGTCACTGATTTTTGGTTGACTGTCAGCTTTCCAAAGTGCTGGGGTGTTGTCATTGTTCTAAAGTGTTCAGTATGTTGAATAAATCAACACACCTGGAAACTAGGGCTCTATCAGGGTGACACTTCTAAACAACTTTCTGCATTTTCGAACACTTTGGCAAAAGGTCTTAGATTTCAGCAGTGCTAATCTTTCCAGGTTTTGAAAGAGGTGGGAGCCCGAAGAGGGCTAATCACAGACATCAGAAGGAGACATCATTTTTCGGCCATGTTATGAGAAGAGGGAAAATAGAACATTTGACCACTGGAAAGATCCGTGGAAGGAGGGATAGAGGAAGACAACGAGAGAAGATTCTTGACAGTCTAGTTGTATGGAATGCAGGTTTGTCGGCACACGAACTGTTACATGCTGCAGGAGATCGTGGATTATGGAGAGGCATGATTGTCCACGCCAGTCGGCAAGGCACCTGATGATGTTGATGCATCTTTCCAGCTTCCTTCCTCTTCCCAGAAGACATTTTTATTGCAGTGTTTTTCCTTCTGCTACTGGTGACAGTGCTGAAGCTCTTGCGGAAATTAGCAAAATTGGTTTATAAATTTTTGTGCAGATCCCACAGTTGTTAAAGTTTTGAAGTATTTAAACTCTGAGGTACCACTGATATCTTTCATAGGTACCACTGATATCTTTCATAGGTACCACTGATATCTTTCATAGGTACCACTGATATCTTTCATAGGTACCACTGATATCTTTCGTAGGTACCACTGATATCTTTCGTAGGTACCACTGATATCTTTCGTAGGTACCACTGATATCTTTCATAGGTACCACTGATATCTTTCATAGGTACCACTGATATCTTTCATGTGTCTTTAAATGACCGGCTTCCTCTATGCTAAGTCTGTAGTCTGTCCTTACCTGCACAGGTAACGGACTGTCCAGGCTGTGGTTGATCTTGGTTTCCCAGTTATAATTTCTTAGGAGGTTGTACTGGTTATCTGAATTTTGCCCTGTTGGGTTGTCATCCAGGTGGAGATTTGTATTCACAGTGCAGTCTTCAAGTAACAGCAGTTGGAGGTGCATAGAAGGACATGTGTAGAGTTCAAGTAACAGCAGTTGGAGGTGCATAGAAGGATATGTGTAGACTTCAAGTAACAGCAGTTGGAGGTGCATAGAAGGACATGTGTAGAGTTCAAGTAACAGCAGTTGGAGATGCATAGAAGGGCATGTGTAGACTTCAAGTAACAGCAGTTGGAGGTGCACAGAAGGACATGTGTAGTCTTCAAGTAACAGCAGTTGGAGGTGCATAGAAGGACATATTAAGTCTTCAAGTAACGGCGGTTGGGAGTGCATAGAAGGACATGTGTAGTCTTCCATTGTGTGTTTGTTTATGCCAGTTGTTCATGTGGCTCAACTGTAACATGGCAGCTGAGATGCTTTTTGAAATGTGCAGATGAAGGGATCAGTTGCAGGGGCATGATATCTCATTATTGGGACTGGCAAGTAGCTTCAACCTCAGATCTTACAAGATGTCCCAGAATGGTATGTTCACATGATACTGATAGATAGGGAAATACAGACAGAAGACAAGCAGATCAGGTAGGAAGCTCATCCGGACAGAAAAGCTCATCAAAAAGGACAAGCAGATATGATAGCAAGCTCATCAAAAACAGAAAACAACAAATAGATCCAGGTGAACAATTTGACCAAGACTGTTCATCATCATCATCATCTTGAAGCCAGCTAACTAGATTGCACTGACATCAAGCCTTTGGCTCAGTAAATAGGAATCTCAAACAGTTTGATTCCATCATTGCCTGTTTCTATCACTGTTGCTGTCTATGCAGTGGGTCTTGAGCCAGCCTGAAGATCTACAGCCCAAACTAATGCTGTCCAACAAACATGGCTTACCTAACACATTTGGGTGGATTTTTTGTGGTTGGATGAAGCCTGAATAATGTGTGTTGGGAAGTCAAGCTCATGGCGGCCCTTCAGACACTTCTTACACATGGTTCTACTCCTTTTCCTGCCTCCAGCTATGTTTTGGTTGCTTGGACGCAACAGTCGTTTGTGCCAAAGTTGGGCACAGGTAATCGCACCAAAAATCAATGTAAAATTGCAGAACACATCAAACTTTCTTGAAAGCCATCAGATCTGCTTGTTTTCTGTTTTATGAGCTAGCTATCAGATATGCTTGTTTTCTGTTTTTATTGAGCTACTGTTTTTGGATGGGCTTGCTACCGGATCTGCTTGTCTTCTGTTTTTGATAAGCTTGCTACCAGATCTGATTATAGTTATAGTGATGCAGGTATTTGGTATACATTTCTCTGATCTCGCTGTTTTTTGAAAGTATCCCATTTTATGTTCATGACTTTTCTCAGAATTATTTTTCAAATGCATTTCACTTTTATTCCATATCTTTGATGGTTCTCCAGCGGTGGCTGGCATGTGTTGGAATTAAAAAACCCGTTAGAACTGAAGATTCATAGTTTGGTCTTAAAGCTGTTTCACTTTTAGCTCCATATTTTGTTAAAGCTGATAAAGACTGTTGTTGTTTCACCAATGCATGTCATAATGTTCTCCCATGTTTCTCCTTGAGAATCAAAAATAGCTACCCAAATAAGTGAAGTGGTCCGTTACTTTTATTAGTTTGTTTTCCAGCATGACATCTGTAGGATTTGTTGTTGGTATCTCTAGTTTTAGTTTTCTCATAACTTAATTGTAGTCCTATTTGTTTTGCTGTAGGTGACACATGGTCTGTTTTTCTGTGCATGTCTTTGTTATTTTTACTTGAGAGAATAACATCCGCAAAATCCAGATCTGATAGTTCTCTACCCAGTCAATGCCAGTTTTATCTTTGTCGCACTTTTTCCTGTTTCCATTAGCCAATCACTGGCTCCCCAAACAACAAAGGAGATATAATGCACAATCAGTTGCCTGTCATATTTCCCTGTATCTCATCATACAACCCCGTATCTCATCATACTACCCTGTATCTCATCATACTACAGTAACAGCTAAATCAGATGAAACAAATCAGTGAATACTTTATATTTGAAGTAGACAACCAAAAAGAACTGTTTGTGTTACCAAGATAAGTGCAGTTTCATGACCATGGCTTCATCGTCCTGATAACATTGGACTGCTGTTGGGTGCTCAACTCAGGTTGCTGTTGAATTGTTGAAGGGAGTGCAGGCCATCACACCTCCAAGCCCTGTTACAATTCAACAGCAAAGTCAGTTTAAATAAGTTCAAAATGAGTAGACAACTGAGCAGCCTAGAGACAATACTATTTTCCTCCCCTTATATAATTTCTTGTCTGACTTCTGCCTTTTAGTATATTTGTATGCTCATTGATTTAATTGTTTCAGGGTGAGCAAAATAGCATCATTGATCAATATTCCAAAGAAAGATGAGTTCATGCGAGCCCTAATGAGCTACTGGACGTTGAAACGGCAGTCCAGATTTGGAGTGCCCTTACTGAGGAGGTTACAGTCGAGCCACATGAGTCGCCACAGAGATTTGGTAAGTTGTGATGATCATGAAGCAATCCTGGGTGTGGTGATGCTGCAATCCTGGGTGTGGTGATGCTGCAATCCTGGGTGTGGTGATGCTGCAATCCTGGGTGTGGTGATGCTGCAGTCCTGGGTGTGGTGATGCTGCAATCCTGGGTGTGGTGATGCTACAGTCCTGGGTGTGGTGATGCTGCAGTCCTGGGTGTGGTGATGCTGCAGTCCTGGGTGTGGTGATGCTACAATCCTGGGTGTGGTGATGCTGCGGTCCTGGGTGTGGTGATGCTGCAGTCCTGGGTGTGGTGATGTGTTTTTTGAAGTTCATTGCTCATATCTCAGGCTGATCTGCCTTGTTTCTGTTTGCTGCCACTGTTACACAGGCCTATGCTTTGCATACTGTTTACATAAAGTGATCACTCAGCTGTTTTTGCCTAGTAACTCAGTGTGTCTCACCACCTCATGAATATGGAGCTTGTATGCTGTCTGTAGGAGAATGGTTTACAGAGCATGAGACGCAGCTATACACTATTCTTTCTGGCATGATCTGAACTAGGACAGGCAGTAGGTCAATTCTTCTGCTTGTTTGATGCTGGTTAAGTAAGACCAGACTCATCAGACATGGTTATTTCAGACACAACATAAGGAACACATTTCCTGTGTGGGTTCTTGGGCCTGGGAGGGAGGGGGAACTTGACCTCTAACAAGCATGTCCTAAAAGGTGACAAATTATGGGGTTGCTAAAATTGAATGCTGGATCTGAAGACACTGAAATCACAGTCTGGGTGTCAGCCACAATACAGCGGCTGCCCACCATTTTAAGGTTCAACGCAGAAAGAACAAACCCATGTCTAGTGATGTAACATCTTTCAGACTGTAACAGGCTAATTTTACTAATAGACTGGTGTTGTCACGGAATGGTTTGTTGTCTTCATGGGCTGGCCAGATCTAGGTTGTTTGCTGCAGACACAATATATGAAAGTTTCACTGTATGATGGACACACAGTAATTCCAGATATACAGAGACGAACATGACTGGTTGCTGAAAATGGACATTCACATTCTTAAAGCTGTGATGAAATTGATATGGCACTCTGAATTTTTCACTGTGGTTTCTAGGGTGAGCTACCCAGTTGTAGGAATTTGTATCCTTCTGGGTCTCCAGCTATGGCTAGCATTTTTCTTCCCATCTCACCAGCTTCAGATTGACCCAGCCTCGTCAAATATAAATTACAGATTCTCTGAATAAAATAACAAAAGTAAATCCACAGAAACAGACTCCACAGAAACAGTCTCCACAGAAACAGTCTCCACAGAAACAGTCTCCACAGAAACATCTCCACAGAAACAGACTCCACAGAAACAGACTCCACAGAAACAGACTCCACAGAAACAGACTCCACAGAAACAGACTCCACAGAAACAGACTCCACAGAAACAGAATATAGAAATGAGATGTAGACAGGCAAGGTTTTTGAGCTTGTTAGGGGAACAATAAATGTGAAAACTTGGTAACAATGAGCAGATTTAATGAGGGAAGTGCCAGGGGAAGACAAAGAGAAGAATATGTCAGTGCATAGTCACATAACATAATTAGGGCATGAATACAGGCTTGATTATGGGAAATGGCAAACCGTACTGCCTATGCTTGTCGACATGACACATGAACATGATGGGAGATTTGCAGATACTGATGGTTTCTTAGCGTTCATAATTTGTATCATGTCTTTGTAAAGCCTGATCTCATTCACATAAAACATCGACTGCCATATAACCACCCTGTGCCCCTGTAACCACCCTGTGCTCCTGTAACCACCCTGTGCCCCTGTAACCACCCTGTGCCCCTGTAACCACCCTGTGCCCTTGTAACCACCCTGTGCCCCTGTAACCACCCTGTGCTCCTGTAACCACCCTGTGCTCCTGTAACCACCCTGTGCCCCTGTAACCACCCTGTGCTCCTGTCAACAAATAATATTTGTGTGTATGGGTAAACTTTCTACCTCCTTTTTGATGAATGCTGTCTGAACAGTGGCCAGTGTGCCCGTAGACAGCTCGTGTCCTAGTTAACAACAGCAGTATCTGTAGAATTGGTGGGTGTGAATATATTTATAAAATAAATAAATAATAAAAACAGGATTATAGTTGGAGAGCGCCAGATGCTGTACTGTGTGACAGACAAGTTTAAAATGCTTACTGCCATTGGCCCTGCTCATCGGAGTGTCAGGATCACAAGTCCAACCATTAACAATTCTACTGTTTGACAGAAAGGTTCAGGTGTCTGCTACTATTGGACCCACTCATCGGAGGGTCAGGATCACAAGTCCAACCATTAACAATTCTACTGTTTGACAGAAAGGTTCAGGTGTCTGCTACTATTGGCCCCACTCATCGGAGGGTCAGGATCACAAGTCCAACCATTAACAATTCTACTGTTTGACAGAAAGGTTCAGGTGTCTGCTACTATTGGACCCACTCATCGGAGGGTCAGGATCACAAGTCCAACCATTAACAATTCTACTGTTTGACAGAAAGGTTCAGGTGTCTTCTACTATTGGCCCCACTCATCGGAGTGTCAGGATAAAAAAATCTGACCATTAACAATTCTACTGTTTGACAGAAAGGTTCAGGTGTCTGCTACTACTGGCCCCACTCATCGGAGTGTCTGGGCCAATTGGGAAAGCCATGCCTGGTGCATGCTTTTCCTGTACTATCTTGCTAGTGTCCCTAAACAGCAACATTACAGATGTCTAACATGCTGAAGAAGATTGGGTGGTCATCCAAGTCCTGCACCTGGGACTGGGTTGATCTCCAAGGTTGCAGCCCGAAATGAGTGGGAAGCTTGACATCTGGATCTGATGTGAGGTTAAGCAGGCATGTGCAGGACGTGATGATTCCTTAGGTGAGCCCAGGACCAGAGCCTTGTGTGCATTTATGGAAGTCTTCTTGGATGGCTGTCAGTGCCCATTATTTTCTCTTGCCTTTCTTTGAGGGCTGACCAGTCTATGCACGGTTGCACTGGATGATTTCTCCAGTGGCAGCACCTGTAGATAAAGGGACAGTGGACAACACATAAGCTAGAGCTACGTCATGTCCCATTAAAAAACTGGGAGGCTACAACAGCAGACAGATGCTTGATGAAGTTGGATGTGTCGGCCAAAGAAACATAAAGCAGCTGTTCTATAAACCAGCACAGTGCAGATGAACATTGAAGAAGAAGAAGAAAATAGAATCTTAGGGGTTGAAAGGTGCACATGGTACAACTTAGCTGTAAACCACAACACATCATGCCAACTTCCAATTTAAGGATAGACACAGAAGCAACAAGTTTATTGTAGTTGTTGACTGATGTGATAGCTAGCTAATAGTCATGTTGTTTTGCTGGTGTCCTTCAGTCCAGAAACGATAAACACAGCCTGGAGATGAGGGAAAAACTGAAGTATTGGCAGCGCCTGAGACAAGATCTAGAGAAGGCCAGGTTACTGGTGGAGCTCATTCGCAAACGGGAAAAGCTGAAACGAGAGTTGGTAAGTCTTACGGTGGTCTCTTGTTCTGACTCATTCAGATGCCCCCCCCCCCCCCCCCCCCCAACATAGTATTGTGGTAACTTTTACTACATCTTCTCACACACTCACCTCGTCTGATGGATCATCAAATTCGCTTTCTGTATTGTTTATAACTAATGAAGTGATGTCTGTTCTGTGTATAATTAAGTGATGTCTGTATTCAGTGTATAACTGATGAAGTGATATCTGTATTCTGTGTATAATTAAGTGATGTCTGTATTCAATGTATAACTGATGAAGTGATGTCTGTTCTGTGTATAATTAAGTGATGTCTGTATTCAATGTATAACTGATGAAGTGATGTCTGTTCTGTGTATAATTAAGTGATGTCTGTATTCAATGTATAACTGATGAAGTGATATCTGTATTCTGTGTATAACTAATGAGGTGATAATTGTATTCTGTGTATAACTAATGAGGTGATAATTGTATTCTGTATATAATTGAAGTAATGTCTGTATTATGTGTATAATTGAAGTAATGTCTGTATTATGTGTATAATTGAAGTAATGTCTGTATTATGTGTATAATCGAAGTAATGTCTGTATTATGTGTATAATTGAAGTAATGTCTGTATTATGTGTATAACTGGTAATGTCTGTATTTTATGTACAACTAAAGAGATGACTGTATTGTGTATATAACTGAAGTGGTCTCTCTGTGACTGCCCAGGCTGTGTACCTGAAATAGTCTTGCTAGTCACACTGCCATCACCAGTGATTCCCATGCTTCCTCGTCACACAGTATAATGTGAGAGGAAGTCACGAAGTCAGTCACAAATGGTTATGGGATGGCAGGGAAATGTAGTTGGTGGTTTATGAAGGTTTCGTTGAGTGACAACAGCATCAAACTTTGTGTCTCCGTTAGTTAGGTGGCGATAGATGTTGCATGCACACTTGCAACACATAATCAAAATGGCGACTGTATTTACATAGTGTACCCTCAAAGAACAGAATTTGCCGTGGTGTTGGCGCATTTGCGCCTGCCTGCGTATCAGAAGGTCGTGGGTTCGCATCCTGATGAAGCCGGACTTTTATTCCTAAAGTGGACCTTGGCTCCAATGTCAACCCAATATTGAGTGGGTACCAGGTGCAGTCCTGTTGTTAGTGTGGGGGGGGGGGGGGGGTGCAAAATGACTGCCTGTAAAGGACTTTCATAAGAAAATGCTTCATATTTATGCTGTAAAATGGGGCATAGATTGATTAAACAATTTTTGTCTTTCTCAGTGGCGTTCTAAAATTATTGTTGGAGTCCGATTAGAGGTGGCATGCAAGTAACGGTTGACTTTGCAGCAGCTGCAATAGGTTGCTCACATGGTTCAGCATATGACAATGCTTGATTGAAATTTAAAATTGTGTGCTCATGGTGGGCACCTAGACAATTGACAAACGAACACAAATAACCAGTTAGGCCTGTCCTTGAAACATCTCTGTCGACAAATCATTGGGGCATCACTACGAGCCCAAATCAAAGCGTGCTTCAGAGCAATGGAAACGTCCTTCTTCGCTAGAAGGAAGGAAGGTTATGCTGACAGTGCTATGGGATTGTCAAGGAGTGGATGATATAATTCAAAGAAAACTTCCAGGTCTGCTGACATAGAGGAGTTCTGCTGACAATGCCAGATCACAGACGGCTCGGTTAACTCAGAAGAAAATTAACCATCTGGGATGGGAACGTTTGGAACATCCACCGTACAGCCCCAACTTAGCAGCTAGGGATTTCCACTTTTTTGGTCCACTCGAAATCCACCTTGGCAGGAGACAATTTCATAAATGACGCATAAGTTGAATGTGAAGTGAAAATGTGGCTTTGAGAATAGAGCACACAGTTCTGTGAAGTAGGTTTGGGAGGACTGATAACATGGTTGGACAGATGCATCACTTTTGGTGGAAATTTTAATTTTTTTATTTTAAACAACCACTTGTGACCAACCTATCGACTTCCTCTTGTACTGACATCTGGAAAGAATCAACAATGCCACTCTTTTAAACAGCCTTGCTTGAGGTTAGATTACCTGTCCTTGTATAATATAGAGACTTGTATTGTCGTTGTCCCAACACCTTCTCCTTTGATATCCATGCGTTATTAGTCTCACCTGAATGTTGTCACTGACTTGTTTTGTCGATGCGAAATGCTGACAGATAAGCAAATTTACCCCCATTTTATATCTGTCTATCAAAGCAGTACACATGTGGGCTGCTGACAGATGCATAAATTGAAGCTAGTATAATGCCTGTGATTTGCCTTCCAACATCTGTGACAATATGTTTGTGTGTACGGCTGGCAGGTTCGAGTCTACCAGCTGTCCCTGGAGTACAAGCTGCAACCGTTCATCATGTTACAGCGACACACTCTTAACTTACTGCAGGAGAAGGATGCTGAAGAGATTTTTGCAGATCCTGTCTCAGAGGAAGAGGTCAGTAACTGGTTTCTTATGTTCCAAATAAAAGTCCAGCACTTCTTGTGTTTTGTAAGATAGTGTGTATTAATAATCCCCTAAAATTCCCCTTTCCCCGTCTCTTTTTCAGTGACTCTCTAATTCACTCACTCATCGATACCATGTAATAGTTGGGTGGTCAGTCATTTTGCTACATCATTTTTGTCCTCAGTTTCCCATTACAGAAGTACAAAATGTTAAGTATTGCATTTATCTGACTGTATCAAGTATGTTAATGTGCTTCACGCATCCTGAGCAGATGATGAGGTGTATTGATGGCTGCGGTCTCATAGCATGCTGGTTGTTTGTTTATTTGTGTACGTGTCTACCTTCTGTAGGGGCTACATTTGGTGGCTGCCATTCTCTAACTTCCTAGTTGTGTGTTTTTCTGTGTACGTGTCTACCTTTTGTTGAGGCTACATTTGGTGACTGCCATTCTCTAACTTCCTAGTTGTGTGTTTTTCTGTGTACGTGTCTACCTTCTGTTGAGGCTACATTTGGTGACTGCCATTCTCTAACTTCCTAGTTGTGTGTTTTTCTGTGTACGTGTCTACCTTCTGTTGAGGCTACATTTGGTGACTGCCATTCTCTAACTTCCTAGTTGTGTGTTTTTCTGTGTACGTGTCTACCTTCTGTTGGGGCTACATTTGGTGACTGCCATTCTCTAACTTCCTAGTTGTTTGTTTTTCTGTGTACGTGTCTACCTTCTGTTGAGGCTACATTTGGTAGCTGCCATTCTCTAACTTCTTAGTTGTGTGTTTTTCTGTGTACGTGTCTACCTTCTGTTGAGGCTACATTTGGTAGCTGCCATTCTCTAACTTCCTAGTTGTGTGTTTTTCTGTGTACGTGTCTACCTTCTGTTGAGGCTACATTTGGTAGCTGCCATTCTCTAACTTCCTAGTTGTGTGTTTTTCTGTGTACGTGTCTACCTTCTGTTGGGGCTACATTTGGTGACTGCCATTCTCTAACTTCCTAGTTGTGTGTTTTTCTGTGTACGTGTCTACCTTCTGTTGGGGCTACATTTGGTGACTGCCATTCTCTAACTTCCTAGTTGTATGTTTTTCTGTGTACGTGTCTACCTTCTGTTGAGGCTACATTTGGTAGCTGCCATTCTCTAACTTCCTAGTTGTGTGTTTTTCTGTGTACGTGTCTACCTTCTGTAGAGGCTACATTTGGTAGCTGCCATTCTCTAACTTCCTAGTTGTGTGTTTTTCTGTGTACGTGTCTACCTTCTGTTGAGGCTACATTTGGTAGCTGCCATTCTCTAACTTCCTAGTTGTGTGTTTTTCTGTGTACGTGTCTACCTTCTGTTGAGGCTACATTTGGTGACTGCCATTCTCTAACTTCCTAGTTGTGTGTTTTTCTGTGTACGTGTCTACCTTGCGTTGGGGCTACATTTGGTGACTGCCATTCTCTAACTTCCTAGTTGTATGTTTTTCTGTGTACGTGTCTACCTTGCGTTGGGGCTACATTTGGTGACTGCCATTCTCTAACTTCCTAGTTGTATGTTTTTCTGTGTACGTGTCTACCTTCCGTTTGGGCTACATTTGGTAGCTGCCATTCTCTAACTTCCTAGTTGTGTGTTTTTCTGTGTACGTGTCTACCTTGCGTTGGGGCTACATTTGGTGACTGCCATTCTCTAACTTCCTAGTTGTATGTTTTTCTGTGTACGTGTCTACCTTCTGTTGAGGCTACATTTGGTGACTGCCATTCTCTAACTTCCTAGTTGTATGTTTTTCTGTGTACGTGTCTACCTTCTGTTGAGGCTACATTTGGTGGCTGCCATTCTCTAATATACTGATGGTGTTCTTTACCTGCACAATTATTTGATGCATTTGTTTCCTGTCTCATCAGGCTCCAGACTACAGGGACATCATTAAGCACCCCATGTGCTTCTCCATCATGAGGAACAAGGTGGACACGCACCATTATAAAACCATGGAGGCATTTGAGGCGGACTTCAAGCTGATCATTCACAATTGTTGTATGTACAACGCCAGGGACACAGTCTTCTACAGAGAGGCCATGCTGCTCAAGGAAGAGGTGGGTCAGCAGAAGCATTTGTTGTGTGTGTGTTTGTCAGTGGTTGCAGTTTCAACGTTTCACTGTCATCATGTGGTGTCAGTGGTTACAGTTTCAGCATT